ACACACACACACACGCACACACACACACACATGCACACACACACAGAGACCGCTGTTTTTTTTTGTTTTTTTTTTTTCCGCGCACGTGCACGTGCACCACTCTCTCGCGCATGGCGCACAGCGCCCCGCGGCGCACTGCGCACCGTGCTTTTCTTGGGTGCAAGTGCACATATTCGTGATCATATTCGTGATCTTATGCTGGCTGATAAGCAAGGGTATGTGTGGCTGTCGAATGAATTTGTCTCTCGCAGGTTCATCTTGAGGTGGTATACAGACCGTACGGTCCAGACGGATCCCCGATTGTGCCGCCGCTGATTGCGCAGTCCGTCAGTTATCATGACATGAACAAGCCAACGGAGCTCGAGCAAATGCTCGGCAATGTTTCGCCGGATGAAATGGCGGATGCGTCAACGGTCTCCGAAAGACGGATGTTTATCAGAGGGGTACTCATGGTAAAAGTAATAAAAGCGATAAATCTCGAGGCAGCGGATATCGCAACAAGTACAAGTGACCCCTATGTGCAATTATGGATGAAGAATAAAAGCGAGTCGAAGCAGCGAACGCAGGTGCGATTTTAGTTTTTTTAGTCTTTATTTTGCCGAAGGTTTTTTTTTTTTTTTTTTTTTGCCGAAGGTTTGATGGATGTGAACTTTGTGAAGTCATCATTGTAACAGAAATTAATAATTAGAGCACATTGTTAAATATGATTTTCAATTTTTCATTCCTTTTTTAAGAAAAAGAAATGAGGGCACAATGGAAAAGGGAGCTATAACAAAGATGGAAAATATCGTCGAGCCCAAAAAAAGAGAGGACTCACAAGAATCTTGTGAGGAACACTGGCTGCTAGACAAAAAAAAAAAAAAAAAGCATTAATAACTTAATAAGACTATATAAGTCCATAATATATATAAAATATTAAAACAGTTAAAAAAACGTTTGTCTCTCGTCTTTGATGATGAGCTGTTTGGATGATTGTGCTTTGTATTTACTGCCTAGTAGTGCATACTTGTCGCATTTTTGACTTTTCAAGATGCATTGGACCATCTTTGCGACCGGATTCATTTGAGAAAGTCAGTCCGAGTATGGGCTTTATCATTCTATGAGTTGCGACTGGCACATTCTTTTTCAATTGAACTTCCCTGCCAAAATTCCGTCCTTGTTTTACACTTGGTTTCTCAACGTATCTGTCTGTTTTCATGACCAGATTCATTAGCGAAAGTTGTGAGTTTGTGTGGCGCTGTGGGATACTAGTGCAAGGCACAAGGCCTCGATAAGCCCCACTGAGCCCTATTTGCAAAAGTGTCGGCCGCCCTAAGTGAAGGCAGGCCCGACAGACCCTCAGAGGCCTATTTTGGACTACGTTGCAACTGGGGAAATTCAGGCAGTTGCGCTGCGCCAGTTGGTTGGAAGCGCCCAGGCCCTGGCTGTCTTTTTCAAATGCATCTGCGTCAGGCCCTGGGCGAGATTCGCAACACAGATCCAACTCAGTATGCGGGCAGTTGGACACAGGTAACTGTCGGCAGCCCTGGGCCAATTCGTTGGTCTGGGCCTCAGCCTACCGGGGCCTACCGGAAGCTTCTTGGGAAAGGCCCAATGCAGCCTGGGACAGAACGCAGGCAGGCCACTTCCATATAGCAAAGGGCCTGCCTCCGCATTTGGCATTCGGGTGCTGGCTGCATGCTGCGCAAGCGCTGCTGCGCTGAAGCTGGCTAGCGCTCACGCGCTCACGGGCGAGCTGGAAGGAGCAGGCAGCCATAGCCGAGCTGCGCTGCTGTGAGCTGGGTGTGGCGCAGGGTGGTCCTTGGGTGCATGTGGCATCTGTGTGTTGGGGAACGAGGTCGTGAGTGATACCAGAGACATACCTGGTGCTGGAAGCGACGCCATTGTCTGAGATCTGCTCGTACTTCAGCGAAGCTGTTGACGTCATCCGGCGGCATTGTAGAGTAGGCTAGATAGGATCTGCCATCTGTAGTCTGGGCGCCGAGCGCCAGATAGGATATCAACATTGGTTCTTCATTGATGATGATAATGAGACTATACCAGCATTGTCAATTATGAGCTCTTGGTGTGTTCTTATTTGGTGAAACTCGTGATGCAATTCTGCTGTTGGTTCGAGGTCACGACTATCTGGTCTTGTATGTATGATGCTGTTTGATTTCTGAAGTTCGCTATCGCTCATCTTCCTTGCACTAGGCTCTTTTCCTGGGGCCCCCTCCACCCACCTTGTGCCCAGGGTTCAGGCCCGGGTGCTTTTCTCGGGTGCCTGAATCCACCCAACATGTGTCCCGACACAGTTCCGGGCAGCCCCAGCGCATACGTCGAATTGCAAAGCAAACAACTTCGGGCTGAATGTCACATCCAAAGCATATTTGCGGAAATCAATGCAATAGTAGCAATACTTGAATCGACACACATGTTGGGACTGAGTTTTCGGGACTGTTCACGACACTGAAAGTCTGCCACAGACAGCAACGACCCGGTCTGTATGTCTCGGGGTTGTTCTTGTAAAGTGGGTCGTAGTACAAAACCCTCCTTGTGAAAGGGGGGCCATCCATTGTATTGTATTTTCGGGGTTGATTGGTTCCCTTTGCTTTTTTGTTCGGTCCTCCTGTAGTGCTCCTATCAGTGCCCACTATACTATTATTAGTGTCTATGGCTTTTCCGTAGGCCTGTAGGTCTATGGCTTTTCTGTAGGCCTGTAGGCTAAGGTCAGCTCCGGTTTTAGGGATATCGTTAGTTACAATACTATTAGTGTCTATAGCTTTTCTGTAGGCTAAGGTCAGGTCAGGTATTAGGGATACGGATAGGGATAGGGATAGGGATAGGGATATTTTCGTTAAAAGGTGGAGGGATTGAAGGACTGAACGCAGACGAGAATAAGGAGTGCAGACCAATCTTGGCAAACTCAGGGGCTGGGCTTTGCTTGGCCGGAGAGAGCCTTGCTCAGCGGCGGCCTTAGAGCTGAGGCGGCGAACTTTGCTAGGGACGACGGGCGCGCGGTTCGCGGCACAGTTTTATAAAGGTTGCAACCAAAAAAAAAAAAACAGTTTACGGAATCCGACTCAATCGAAGACAAAAAAGAAAACAACTGAGTCAGAGCCTACGGCATCCCATTGAAGTGGATACTGGGACCACATGCCCAGCGGGGCCAAAAATGAATTAAAATTGATATATATCTATATATATCTATATATATCTATATATATATATATATATTTGTTGTCCTCTTCTCTCTCTCTGCCTACGGTTTACCGGGCAGTTCTGTTTGTGACGATATATATATATATTTCTTTGTTTCGTGGGTGTTTTGCTGGCTTGTGATGGGGTGTGAACCGACAGTCTGTAGAGTTTTCCATCTGGTGTGGGTGAGTGATAGTCTACTTTGATTTTGGTTAAGGTGGATTATCACTTACAGTGTAATCAGTGAGGGGATTCTACAGACTGTTGAGGGTTCAGCCTCCTGATGAGTCGGTGAAACTCCGACGAAACAGTTTGTCACAGCCCCTCGTTTGTTGTCCTCTTCTCTCTCTCTGCCTACGGTTTACCGGGCAGTTCTGTTTGTGACGATATATATATATATATATATATATGCAGGATCATCACCCCGTACGTACGGAGGTCCCCGGGCAGACCTCCGTACGTACGGGGGCGTTCGGGGTCCCGTACGGGGTCCGAACCTGACGGCGTTCGCCCCCCGCCAAAAATTATTTCGGGGCCTAAAGATATTTGTTTTTTTCTGAATTTTTTTTCTGTGAGTTCTCTATGACGTGAGGTACGTGCCTATAAATTTTCAAGTCATTTGGCTCATCCAAATAAGAATTAAAAATCGCCAAAGATGGCGGTGTCAAAACGTGGTCACCCACGTTTTTTTTCACTTTTTACTTTTTGTTTTCACTTGAGTTCGGGGTCTAAACAATTTTATTATTTTTTGAAACGTTTTTTAGTGCGTTTTGCAATATGTGAAGTACACATCTGTAAATTTTCAGGGCATTTAGCTATGCCAAAAAAAAAAAAAAAAATCGCCAAAGATGACGGTGTCGAAAACGTGCTCGCTCACTCACTACATTTAATTCTTTTTTTATTTGTTGTTATTTTTATTATTAGTATTTATTTTTCGTATTTTATTTTTATTTCAAATTTTGTAAGGAATTTGGATGTAAAGCTCAGGCAAATCTTGTTTAATTTATTTTTCTTCATAACATTTTTGTTTTTCAGATTTTTTTGATTTTTTTTTTTTTTTTTTTTGGGTCCGCTCCGGGCCGAACGCATCCCCAAGGGGTCCCATACGTTCGGGCGTTCGGGTTCGGGCGTTCGGCCCGTCCCGAACGCGGGTTACCCTGTATATATGTATATATCGTCAAATAGAACTGCCCGGTAAACCGTAGGCAGAGAGGGAGAAGAGGATATATATATGTGACGATATATATACGATATATATATCCTCTTCTCTCTCTCTGCCTACGGTTTACCGGGCAGTTCTGTTTGTGATGATGAGTCGGTGAAACTCCGACGAAACAGTTTGTCACAGCCCCTCGTTTGTTGTCCTCTTCTCCCTCTCTGCCTACGGTTTACCGGGCAGTTCTATTTGACGATATATATGACGATATATATATTTGACGATATATATATCGTCACAAACAGAAATATTGAGGGTTCAGCCTCCTGATGAGTCAGTGAAACTCCGACGAAACAGTTTGTCACAGCCCCTCGTTTGTTGTCCTCTTCTCTCTCTCTGCCTA